GGGAGGGGCGGGGGAGGACCGCGGCAGGGGCAGGCCGGGTCCCTTTTGGCGGAGGGTCGTTTCCTTCGGACGTTCAGGAGAAGCAGCTGCGCCCGAAAGGCGTCCTTGTCTCCACTTGCAAAGGCCTGGGAAAAGGCCCATTCCCACCGAAGGGCTTGTGGGGTTTCCTGTGGGGCTGGTGGTCGGTAGCCTGTTTTCGGCACAGCGATACATCAATTATTATTACGAAAGCTGCTTTCGTAGGCTCTCGGGTCTGACGGGTACAACTGCCCCATCTCTATTTAAGGGGGGGACACCCGCCTCCGGGCTTGGCAATGGGGGTTCGACCTCTGCATGACTGAACGGGACCTTGGCTGTATCCCTTTTTCATTGCTGAGTTTTGCTGTTATCTGCCTGTATTTTTAGCACACTTCTTTGGAGATTGCTGTAGCCCACCCAGAGTTCATTTGCCTTGGGGCAGGCTATAAATGCTGCAAAATAAAACAAAAAATCACCATTTAACCGTTGCTCTGTCAATAATCGGAATTGTCATTTTTATAAATGATGCTTTGCTTGCTCAGTGACCACGCTGTGTCAGCTCACAAAAACTCTGGAAAGTTTGTCCTTTCTCTGTGTTCAAACCAAGATTTATGCAACCGAACCACGATGCACAGAAATGTATTTGCAGGATGTGGGCTCGAGACGAGGGCTGCACTGGTCACTCTGCAGGGTGCTGATGGACTCAGCAGGGCCACAGGTCTGCCAGTGACCGCCCCCCACCTCTCAAACGCTGGAGCCAAGGTGCCCCTGGGTGCCGAGCGCGGGTGGCGCCGCCGGAGGGTAGAGCGTCTGTGGCAAGGCAGCGTCAGGAAGGGGGCTCAGCTCCCCTTCAGCATTTGCATCGACCCCCTTGGACTAACTGGGCTTTGTTTCTTAGGCTCACCCGTCTCTTCATCTCGAGGTGGTACTGCCTGGGCGTAGCAGTTGTGCTGCTGGTCATCTCCGCCTTGAGGAACAAAGACCTTCCCCAGCCAGCACCCGCCGCCGCCACCCTGACTGACGGCACCTTCACCTTCCACTTCAACTGGAGTGTCTACGAAGCCCTTTACCCCCACCTGCAGCACTACCAGTGCCAGGAAGTGATCGCCAGGGACTCCTTGTGCCAGGGCCCCGCCAGTGCCCCGCTGCTCCTCCTCGCCATCAAATCCCACCCGGCCTCCGGCAGCAGGAGGGCCGCCCTGCGCCGCACCTGGGCCCGGCCGGCGGAGGTGGGGGGCTTCTGGCTGCAGCCCCTGTTTCTCCTGGGGGCAGCGTCCAGCGACAAGCACGCCCAGCTGGTGGAGCAGGAGAGCCGCACCTTCGGCGACATCCTGATGTGGGATTTTGCAGAGTCTCACCACAACCTGTCCCTCAAGGAGCGCTGCCTCCTTCGGTGGGTCCACCAGCACTGCCAGCGAGCGGCCTACATCTTCAGAGGTAAGCCTCCCCCGGGCAGCTGGGGGAGCAGCACGAGTGGGCTCCCGTGCCCGCCCTCCAGGAGAACCCGCAGGGAGGGCGCATTTCTACCTGCCAGAATTACGGAAGCGGCCCCAGCTTTGTTCTTCTCAATCTAAGTAAACGTGTGCCCACCCGCGAGGGGCAAAGGCGGAAAAAAAACGGCCGCTGACGGTCGACGCTTCGTGCATTTCCCTATTTTTTCCCGCAGTCCTGGCAGCCCCTTCGGAGGGCACAGCTGGTAGGCTGGCACCGTCCCGTCCCCCCCGAAGAAGGGTGGGGGTTGGGGACAGAGGCCCGGGCGGCAGAACCCGCTTCCTTCTTTGCGCCGGGTCTGCAGCACATCCAGAGGTTTAGGAACGGGAGCGCCTGGGAAACGGCAGCCCCAACCCAGCGGCCTTGCCTTGCAGGAGAGGACGGGGTGTTTGTGAATTAAAGACTCTAATGGGAAATTATATCTCCAAATTAGATAAGAAAGTAAACAGTAACTCCCATGCTCCAAATCTTACCCCTAATTCACGGACAGCACAGGTGGCAAGGGGGCTCTTGGACAGAGAAGATATGGAGGAGAGGCTGGTTTTGCAGAGACATAGGATTCTACTCCAAGTTGCGGATACAACACACACACACACACACACACACACACTATAGGGGTGGGTGTCATAACAGACGAGTAATACTGAATTCTCTCTCTCAACTCTTACAGTGTAAGGTATATTCTAACAAACAACAGGGATCTCTTGGCTCCCTAGTAGGCACGGATGTAAAAGAATATTGTTAACTTTTGGTCAGATTATTTTACCAT